CCCCAAGGATTTTAGCTAACAAACGAAATCACCTGTGAACGGCCAACTTTGTTATGTAAATAGGGCCGTTATCACAGGCTGAGCTGAAGTTGCTTCACTTTGCCATCTTAGGGGGAGGGGGAGGATCTGAATAGTTAGTTTTTCTCCAGTGGCTTTAGTGCATTTCTCACATCAGACTTAAAGTTCTAACAACTATGAGTTCAACCTCCACAACACTGAGTCATTGGCGCACATCATTGCAGCAGTTTCTTTATCCTATGACCAGTTTACAAATACTTTTGTTCATGTATCAGTTACTTTCGAACAATTATCTGCTGTTTTATAACATTATCATGTGCTTCAGTCAGAATGAAACATTCTGTTTTATAACATTATCATGTGCTTCTGTCAGAATGAAACATACTGTTTTATAACATTATCATGTGCTTCAGTCAGAATGAAACATTCTGTTTTATAACATTATCATGTGCTTCTGTCAGAATGAAACATACTGTTTTATAACATTATCATGTGCTTCTGTCAGAATGAAACATACTGTTTTATAACATTATCATGTGCTTCAGTCAGAATGAAACATACTGTTTTATAACATTATCATGTGCTTCAGTCAGAATGAAACATACTGTTTTATAACATTATCGTGTGCTTCAGTCAGAATGAAACATACTGTTTTATAACATTATCATGAGCTTCAGTCAGAATGAAACATACTGTTTTATAACATTTCACTCATTGAAGAGGTGTGTTATATTGTTTACATTTATCAAAGTTCTACCATAACGCTTTTTTGTATGTTTGTTCTATATAAAGAGACACAAGTTACTGTATTATTGCATATGCAGTACATATGTGAAATACACACCACTTTACTTTGCCATCTTAGGGAGAGGTCAACACACAGGTTTTTTTTTGGTTAGTGAGATTTATTGATTTTAAATGCTACAAAATAAGAAAAATGGACTAATAGTTTCGAGAACTTTAAATGCACCAAAGCCACTGAGAAAAATGTTATTACAAAATATATACAGTATATTAATTCTCAGGGTTCACAGTCTGGAACCTGGACTGCCATGGCATTTCTTTTCTGCATTATCTCACAGACCAATCTCTACTCATTCGCAGCCCTTCCTCCCCCAGACGAATAAACAAAGCCCACCCTAGCCCCCTGTTTTTTCGGTCATCACCTCATTTGACATGCAAATGTTAGCAACCCAAGTAGCGGGTTAGCTCCTCTTCTCTTAAACTAGCCCCAAATTTGGCTGGGCGTTCTAGTGTTAAGGATGTATATGTATACTGTATTGTCCAATTAACGTTTAATGGTGTTGATTGATTGATATGTATCTGTTTATTGAGTGCAAATTGAGCTAGATGGCTCTGTGTTATGAGAGCGTAGGGGAAATGAGAAGCCATTGAGCGAGTTGGGGGGCGGTGCTAAACATTCAAACCTTGCAGAAACGGGTATAGCACCTTTAAAATATAAAATCCCTCAGTTGTATGCACAGCTAAACAGAACTGTTTTTAACCTGGTTTTAAACATTGTCAGAGAGGAGGCGTGTCTCACATCTTCAGGAAGATTGTTCCAGATTTTAGCAGCATGAATTTGAAAAGCAGCCTCCCCATGTTTAGTCCTGACTCTGGGCACTAACAGGAGGCCTTCACCTTTTATGTTCCACATCAATTTCATGACAAACTCCTGCGCCCAAAGGGATGACCATTGAGAATTATATTGTGCAAATGTAAAAGTACCACTATGCTCATCGAGGTTGCAAATATATAAACTATTAAGAGATAAAGATGTATTATATAATTGCATGCATATATAACATTGAGCACCTCTGATGATTTCTGCCACGGTATATATCCAGATCTGACCTGCTTCTCTGCAATAGTTGTTCTTGCATCAGGCGTAACAATAGCCCCTTCCAGTCAAAATGTTGCAGTGTATCTCTAATTCTCTCTATATTTATTAATTGTTGGAGATGTGACTACATCCTTCTAAAACCAACACTGCAAACTTTGACTCATATTAATGACAGTGAGTTATATATTCTTTTGTTTTTCTACAATCTCTCTGGTTTGATGTTTGATTTTGTGTTTGTTTAAATACGTACGTTTAAACCTAAAGTAGATTCAGTCTAGCTTCAAACTGTTCTGACCATTTTGAGGCACCTCGCTGAGATGAGGCCTTGTTACGCTTTCAAACACGTCTTTTACATTTTCTGTTGCTCTCAAACATAAACTTCAATGAGTGGCCTATATGCGTCCAAATACAAACATTTCTAATATACGCAAGGGTTTTCCCTGTGTTCTTGAATGCAGCCGCAGGCCTTGTCGCAGTATTATCCAGTTTATGAGGTCACATGCCAGAGTCAACGCAGTAGAACCTCAATCATGGTGGTGCATTCTGCTCAATTAAAGAAATTGGTCTGGTTTCCTCTAGTTGTTTGTTTTAAGATTGATTGTACCATTGCTCCCTTTGGCTACACCGACCAGTGCATTTTAACAGATGTGGGTATTGTAATAGTCTCTGTGTGTATGTGTGTCTATTTTCCGACCGTACAGATGGGATATGATGGTAGGAAGATTCATAATTAGGCCGAGCCAATACGTAGTATTGGGGAGGCCTATTGTTATTCACCGGTTTCATGAAGCTCAAGCGGATGTTCAGACTGAAAGACCGAGTGCCTGCCAGCCTCGAGCCTCAGCCAATCACACAGCTCTGCCAGCCTCGAGCCTCAGCCAATCACACAGCCAGGCCAGCCTCCTGCCAACCCTCTCAGAGCAAAGCGGGCAGTTTAAAAGGCAGCCACTTCCTGACAAACAACGCTTCCTGAGGCCCTTAAACAACCATGGGCATGGTTCTCTGGCCGCACCTGTCGCTACGGCTCGGCTCTTTCAGACACGTATGTAACCTGGCTCTCAGAGACAAGTGGCGACAATTTTTTTGGACTGGCCAAAATATTCGGGAAAACTGTCCAATTTAGTTCTTATTGCTACACCACAGACAGGGAAAAAGCTTTTTTGAGGAAAATATGTGTTTTTTTTTTCGGCGGAAGTTAGAATTGTCTGTTTCAACGTAATTTTATTGGCCAACCCATTACAATTTTTCATCTTTTTTCACTTCCACAGCAATCCCAAGGTCCACCAGGTAATTTGGTGACCAAGTTTTGGCCCACTATCTGGATAAACTACTATATGAATCCAGTTTTAATTGTAGATATAGCTTTTTTCGGGCGGAAAAAAGGCCTCTGGGTTAGAGGTTAGAAAAATAGCTACTACGTCTTTTGTTAGATTTTGTGTGCTCCCTGTGTGATCTACTACTGTCCTGTATGTGCGCTTGCAACAACGAAATTTCCCACTGTGGGAGATTAAAAAGGAACTCTTATCTTAAAAAAACCACCCATGGACACTGTACAGGATAATGAAAAACAATAAAACAGGGAGCAACAGAATAAAACAGTGTGACAATACGGAATGGTGGTGCGTGTGTGTTAGGTGGGGTAGGACAGCTGAACAGATGGGTTTTGAGTCTGGATTTGAAGAGTGGAGAGAGCCAATGGTACGGGGTCGGGGGGTTCTGCCCCCAGAGTTCCTGAGCTGGTGCAGAGTGGCTGAAGGCTCTGTGTCCCCACGGTAATGAGTCTGGCTGGGGGGACGGAGAGTGTGAGGGTGGAGGAGAAGCGGAGTGTGCAGGCAGGAGTGGCAGGGTGGTGGAGGTCTGGATAAGTACAGAGGGGCCTGGTTGTGAGAGTACTTTGAAAAGTGGTGGAGTATTTTGTTGTTGATGCATTGTTTGTCAGGAAGCCGTGGAGTCGTTGTAGTTACGGGGGTGATGTGCGGTGTGGCTGTAGGGGTGAGCTGTAATTGACCCGCTTGTAAGCGGTAATCCTCGATGTAGCAGCTAAAGTTTTAATGCTGTGGTTACACTTAAATAAAACACGGAACTTGCGATCAACTTATAATAAACCTGTGCGCACTGCAGCTGTCAAAAGCCGAGGCTTACAACTGTAAAATACTTCTGAAGAGGACACTTCACTGAGGGGTGAGACCGTGGTCGTCCTCTGAACTATTACCCACGGTACACACAAGCTCCAAAAGTATTCTTCTGACTTTAAATAAAAGATAACTGACATTATGCTAGCGGTGTATGAGGTTGGAGTATTGCAGTTCATGTTAAGCATGGAAACATTTTAGTGAGGAGCATTGTTGATCCACTTGTCATACGCTGGAGGCTTTGTCTCAAAACATTATTTCTTTCTGCTACGCAAAGAGTGATTTGCGTAGCAGAAATAAATAAATATTATAACAAATTATATTCAATTGCTTACAAAATATGTGTAGTAGTATTTAATAAAATGGTTAATGAGGGGTGATTTCTGGGCAGGAAAGCATGATCCTTATAAGGCAGTATAAGGGGAGGTGGAGGAGGGCATATGAAGAAGGTGGCAAACAAACAAAACAAGTGTTTATATACACTTAAAAGTGAACGACCTCGTCTGTGGCTTTCATTGGGTTTGCAGTGCACTGTTCATTTCACTTCACATTCTCCCAAGGTCCAGATCAGCTTATCCAACCACAACATAAATATCAACACTTGCATCCAGACTGACAGAGGCTAAAACAGGAGCCGGCCACATCATTCCCATGCAGACAATTGCAGCAGATAAAGCTTGCATCTTTTTCTCTATGTCGTCAGTTAAAGCTAGGGTACATAATTTGTATATACCCCACAACAATTACCTCTGTTAGATTTTTCACATCTAACAGATTTTCCGGACAGAAAGTTGAAAAAGAGAGGAGAAACCCCACTCAGGCCAGTTCTTCAACTCTTAGCTCAAAATGTCAAATTGTGACTCACACATACTCTTCTTAGAAGAGAGCATGGTTCTCCTATAAGTTGGAAGTTTGAAAAAAGTCAACAGGTACTCCATTTGTTCATATTTTTTGTTAAAACAACATATATAAATGTTTTTTTCTGGGAGTCATTTTTATATTTGCCTTCAGTTTGGTGACAAAGTGCCAGCCGACATCAGGATCATCTCGTGAAATCTACGACCAATCGGGTCAGATTCAGGTCATTCCTGACTGGTGATTGATGAAAGGTCAATACTTTTCCCTTTAATGTTGTGGTTATGTTCATATTATTTTCCTTCTATACAGGTGTGTCTGTATGTGTGATCAAGCACAACAGATGCTGTCCTTATCCACGCGCTGTCAACCAGGACAAGAAAAACATGTTTTGTTCTGTAAGTTGAAAGCACTCAAAACAACCTGTACCATCACTTCTGACATCATACTCACAATTGTATTGCATTTCTTAGAAGAAGAAGTTCCAATCTTTCAGTATGGATCTATTGAGTTTAGCTTTTTTATTGCCACCTACAACTGATTTGGCTAGAGCAAAGATATAGGCATCTTTTAAAGAGAATTAAAACAATTATGCACAAATACTACTTTTTTTTTTTTAACATTATTTTTATTGTTTGCCAACGCACACACAGACATTATCGAAGTTGGTAACATAGGAACATGGTACTTACCATTTATTAATATAAAAATATGTACACTTATACAAGAATCAAAAGACAAGTCACTTTTTTCCAAAAATTCAATAGGGGTCTCAAAACGTTTCAAATCCTCCCCTCGTTCCTCTTGCAAACATATGTACAGTGGGGAAAAAAGAGTTATTTAGTCAGCCCACCGATTTTGCAAGTTCTTCCCATTTAAATAATGACAGAGGTCTGTAATTTTCATCATAGGTACACTTCAACTTGAGAGAAATAATCCAGGAATTCACATTGTAGGATTTTGAAAGAGTGTTTTGTAAAATTATGTGGAAAATAAGTTTGCCATTAATTGCCTCAATGGTGTACGGTCCACTGAAGTCTGGCTCAATCCGTCCTGTAAGAAGAAAATTACTTAATGATAAACTATACTACTTCTCACACAAGGGATGTGTATGATTAAATGGTTAATTAATAAATATGCTCAAAAGTGTAGATACCCAGCCAATTATTGTCAAACAATGCGTTTACCCTTTTCAAATCAACTGAAAAAAAATTACGTACAAAAAACCCACCAGGGAATGTAACCTTAGGTAATTATCCTTTTTACAAAACTGCAATATAAAATACTGACCCCCCTTTCTTCCCTTCTTCCTCATGTTGAACAGAAGCACTTCCTGTCCAATGCTATACGACACTGCTCTATATTTCTTCAAGGTTTTTTTTGCATAGGCAAGCCTCTGCTTTTCATGTGCCTGAGCCATTTTTTTTTCTGCTTTGGAGTGTGTCGTCTTCATTTCCTCTTCTCTGCCTTCAATACACGCATTGTATGTTGCTTCCTCTGGGAGTGTTATGGACAGCTGACAAAAAAGTACAAGTTATTTCAAATTGTATTAATGGCATTCACATGACATTATAATGTTCTAAAAATCGTATTTGTTTAAACAATTCTATTACACAAACACAACCAATAGTGATCATCAACCAAATGCTTTGCCATTCCTTGTCCAAAAACCTTCTATGCAAATTTGGTTGATATTTCTAAGCTCATAAATAAAATGGGAATTTACCGGCACATGCACAGGTAGTTCAGCAGGAAAAACGGCCTCCCTTCCATACAGCAGGCGAAAGGGAGTCTGCTTCGTGGATGTGTGGACTTTCGATCGCAACGCGAACAAAACTCCCTTCAAGTACGTGTCCCAATTGTTCTGTCTGTCATTTACAAGCGTTGTGAGCGCCCTGTAAAGACAAACGTATGAGCATCATGGAGAAGGTGCGACAGTGAAAATTATGAATGTATAGGTGCAGTAAACATGTGAGACATAATCTTACTGGTGTAAATTTCTCCATTGTGAGATCAATAAAGTCTATATTATCTAATGAAGATCATGGCCATACATAACATTAAATGTATGCAAATGTTAACTTTAGTTAAAAATGAATTTATTGTCAAATTGTTGATAGTGAGGGTATTAAACTTACTGCTTTATGTTATGATTTGTCTTCTCATCCAGACCATTTGTTTGGGGGTGATATGCAGCTGTGACACTGCGCTCAATATGTAGGAGGGTGCAGAGTTCATTGTTGAGCTGTACATACAACAAAAATTACTGAAATAGTGTTGATTTTTATAATGTATACACAGACACAAAGCTACATACCTCATTTACAAACTCCCGTCCCTGATCAGACAGAATGCGCTTTGGGCAGCCGTGTCGATATATGATGGAGCACAGCCGTTGTGCAACCTCTAACGCAGACTTGCTCCTTAAAGGGTATGCTTCAACCCATTTTGAAAAGTAGTCAGTGGCCGTCAGAATATACATGAACCCATCTGGTGTTTTGGGCAATGGCCCAGTAAGGTCTATGCCCACTAGTTCCCAGACAGCTGACACCTGCCAAGGAAAGAAATGTAGCTATTAATTTCCCATAGGCTGTTAAAAAGTTAAGAACAAATTTACCTTTATGTTTTCAAGGGGCAAAACAGCTGCCAACGGCTTTCCTTTCCGTTGACACTTGTCACATTCTCCAACCTTCAATGATAAAATGAATTATGTGCATCTCATGAAGTCCAATTGGTATTTATAATGCTTTAAAACACGTACCCAATTGTCAATGTCAATTGTCATTCCATACCAATAAAATCTGGAACACAAGGCATGTCGCGTTTTAATAATGCCAGTGTGGCCCCCCATTGGCGTAGCATGGAATTGAAGAAAGATTTTCCAGGCCTCCTCTTTTCCTTTTATAGCCTTTCTTGTCCCAAAAAACAGTTCCCCATCTGTATAACAGTAATCACCAACAACATTAATCTAAAAATAAATACCATTAAAAAAAGTAAAGTAGTACTTAAATGCTTACCCTTCACTGTAAATTTCTTGGCATATTTCCTTAAATTTATTTTCTGATTTTTTGTGAAATCAGTAGGGTATTTTTTATGGCCAAGATAATTAAAAACGTTGTCCCAATTACTCTCCATAATTCTCCAATAATATTTGTTGGGCTAAAGGCGAGGTCGGGGACAGGCGAGGGTCAAACAGGATCAGAGGTGGTCAGTAGCAGACAGATGAAAGATTAGAGAGGAGAGACAAAGAAAATAGTGAGGTTGGCGATAGTAGTAGGTAGATTTCTGGAACTGGAAAGAAGAACAAAGAAAACATAGTTTAGATTTTAAATTTTTATCTTATCTGATCTTATTTGTAATATATTGGGATGTAGGTTTAGGTTATGTGATTATCATACAGCGTGAAGAATATCTAGGGAAGATTTTGGCAACAGTTTCACATGCAGGTCACAAAAGTGTGGTGTTCAAAGTTGCATGTGGTGTGTAAAATTACATTTACAAGGGGGGCATATCTCGATGAATGAATTTAGAATATCGAAATTTGCTATCCTTGACCACTAAGTTAGTTTATGGATAAAAAATTACATTTACAAGGGGGGCATATCTCGATGAATGAATTTAGAATATCGAAATTTGCTATCCTTGACCACTAAGTTAGTTTATGGATAAAAAATTACATTTACAAGGGGGGCATATCTCGATGAATGAATTTAGAATATCGAAATTTGCTATCCTTGACCACTAAGTTAGTTTATGGATAAAAAAATTACATTTACAAGGGGGGCATATCTCGAATGAATTTAGAATATCGAAATTTGCTATCCTTGATATCTTTTACTGGGACGCTAGCTAATGCACATGCACATGAAACTAGCTAATGCACATGTCCCGAGGCTAAAGACTAATGACGTATAACTTCAGCCTATAGCTAAAAATATTAACATTATTGTCAACATCTTTACGTTAATTTGAACTAGTACTTCGTCACTGCAATGTGTAGTGTACTAGTGTACAGCAAAACATAGCAAAATACACGAATATAATCTTGTTTCTTGTAAAGACAACCACTCACGTGAAGCTGGAGATGCTAAATCCGATAGCGCGGTAAACCTACTTGGACGCATGCGCAGATGCACTAGATAATATGTTTTGACGGGGGGAGCCGTCTCGACAGAACACCGGCTCAATCTCACGCATCGAGCGCACCGCGTCATTTATTGGGTACAAACATACACTTCCGGTTTGACCCTTCAGTGTAAGAGCATACACACACATATATATATATACAGATACCTACAAGGCAACATGCTTATTCTTTAGTTAGGTCTTAATACTTTCTATTCCCCTCTCTAAAGCCTAGCGTACATCGACAGAGAAACTGGAGACAACTAGTTGCAAGGCGGCTTTTGGCAACTGAGAGGAGATGGTGGGAGATGATCAGTTGCTGAAATCGGTCGATGTGCGCGCTCTTACAACTGGAGATGATCAGTCGGTCTCCAGTTTCAGTCAGTTGCCCGCGTTCTACTTTTCGGCAACTAGTTGTCCTCAGTTTCGGAGATATGACCCGATGTGCGCGCTCCATGCGCCGCTCCGACAACGTGTGTGTATTGCGTGTATTGCGAGCTCGCAACAGTTTATGTCAGAAAACACACTGTAGTTGAGGCCAGTTGCTGTCGATGTACGCGCTGTTATTCCCGAGACTGGTCTGCTACTAGGAGTTGCCCGTTTTCGTCAGATTGTCGATGTGTGCGGGGCAGCAACTCATATGCGACGGATATAATCAGTTGCCAGTCCGATGTACGCTAGGCTTTAGAATAAGCACACCCCTATAAAAAGGTAGATACAAGGACATTTCCAATCCAGAATAGTTACTACTGTGTAGATGTGTTTTAGATATGCAGTGTATCCAAATGCACTGTGCATCTAAGACATATATGCATTTAGTTACCCTATATACTTATGGAGGAGAAATGTTCATTAAAGCAATCAGAGATTAAGTTAAGATCAGTAATTGTAGTATTATTAACAGTAACATTAGTTTCATTTGGACCTACCCAGAAGCTGGTCCAGGTGTTTCCGAAATTGTTTAGGATTGTTGTAGTTCAGACCGAGGGCTTCCTCTGAGTTTGGGTTTTGGATTGATTCCTGAGTTGTCTATAGATCTCCCAGTCGTTAGGGTCCTTAGACTCTCTGTACTTAGTCCAAGCTTGGTCTCGACGTTTAAAAAGATTAATTAAGTCAGAGCTAGTTCATGGAAGATGCCGTCCTTTTACGTGAATAGTTTTAAATGGGGCATGTTTATCAATTACTTTAAGGACTTCAGAATGGTTCACCCCAAAGATAAAACCTTGCAGTGATATCACAAAATCATGTATTCCTTAAGTATGTAATAATCTCAGTGCAATTTAGAAAACATAGGGTTAGACACCAAGATTACTTGGCTAGGTCAAATAATGAAGGAGTTAGGATATGTTAGTAAACTTTTAGTATGTTATTAAGGACACCTAATACTACAAAAAACATCAAAAAAAACCTTTTGTTAGAATTTTTTTGGGGTTCGGTGCGTTTTTTTCATATATGCAGCCGCCTATTAAAAGGAATGCAATACTTTCCATCTCCATCAAATGAGAAAGAAAAACAAAACATAGGGTGACATTCAAACAAATTCAACTGTTAATGTAATCTAACAAATTTGAATAGGCAGCTTGCGAATGTCTTCAATCTCTGCAAAGTGCGACAAAAGGATCCTGATTTCCAAGAGAAAAGTTTGGAGAAAAACAACCAGCTCAGCCTAGAGGGAGAAACTAAATTGACTGTTTTATGGCATAATTTGATAAGTCACATTGCTAATATGAACCTATTAATATGCATCACTTTCCTTAGAGGTTTATCCAAGGAAGAAAGTCCCATTTCTATTCAAGCACACGCACACGCACACACACACACACACACACTTTTAAACATGGCCAAAACATTCTGTGAATCAGCAGCAGATAAAAGCCATGTTTTCTCTGGCTTGAGCAATCGCGCATTTGTTGTACAGTAGTGATAAGTTGAGGGAGGGGGAGGATTGGGGGGGTATTCAGGGAAAGCACTCAAAATTGTTGAAAAATGTCACGCTGATGGACAGGGTTTGTTGCCATGGCAACAGGCAGATCGATCCGGTTTGCAGAGGAGAGGGCACCGCTGGGGCGAATATGAGAGACAGTGGGAGGAGAGTGTGTGAGGGGAAATAAACATCACAATATTACAGTACATTTTGAATATGTTTTTTACTTCTACTTTGAGACTTTGAGGGGGATTTTGTTGCATTCAGAAGTACAAATATCCAACAAAGTCTCACTGCAGCTGTAAAATCCAAGAACAACAGAAACACATATTTAAATATATATATTAGGGCTGTCAAAGTTATTGCGTTAATGCGTGTTAATTTTTTTTGTTCATTAATCGCGGTTAAAAAAATTAACGCTTTTAACGTATGTGTCAAGTGACTGGCACCCCGCGCACGCGACTGCGGGGCAATTGCTGTGAATGGGAGTCCGCAGCGTTCTGGGGCAGCTGCGGCCACTTTGGACAGTGGTTCCCGCGTCCAGCCAGACCCTTGTAGTTCCGCCATGCTCCACCAGAGGCGTTTGGCTAAACCACATGGGTCTGGTATCGACGCCATAGCGAACGCCTTCCCCAGGTTATTTTTTAATCGACCAATCAGGACTGCCTGTGTTACGTGGGGTTTGCACTGCCTTCTCAAGCTTCTCTCATGCAGCAGCGAGAGGAATCCAAGATGGCGGACGTATAGTCCGCGAATCTTTTTAAAAGAGCAAATTCGATCGAATTAAGACACGGTTGTCACTTTTAATGCAATTTGAGGCGAGATGTTGATATGTGTATTTTAAGAGTCAAATGTTCCTGTAAAGTTTGGTTGAAGCACTGGTTCAGTGTTTCTGTTTACACACTATGCAGCAGGGTTGCCAGGTTTGGTGGTTCCCGCATATTTTTTTCCAAGAGACTTGTAGGTATTAAATAAACAGAAAGACAATAAACAGAATCATGATAGCCCAAGTTGATTACATTAAGTTTTTAGCCAAAAAATCATTCTGAGTGTTTTTTTTTTTTTTTTTGGGTATTCTCGCAGATTTTGGGTTGGAAAATCTTGCTGGGATTTGGCAACCTATGGGAGCTTCGATGTGAGTGGTTGAAAGCAGACTTCATTCAAGATAACGGACAAGTGGTCTATCCAATCACATACAAGGATTTTTTTTACAAGGGCCTGCCTTGAGAGCAAGATGGCGCCGTGTCATGGCGCCGCAGTGAGAGCTCTAGTGTGCACAATCTGTGTTTTGTTGCTGTTTGTCTTTGAGTCACTTGCCACTGTGAAGTATGACCGAGAGGCGCTTCTAAACATTCGGGACCTTGCGTGTGACGGGTCACTCGTACTACCCGAACTGAGGTGCACTAACTTCCTCGAGTGTCCCACTCGAGAGGCCCGTGGAGCACGGCAGACCGTGCTCGTGGGACCGTGCGTCTCCGGCGTTCTCTCCGCGGTGTGGAGCTGGGCACCTCGAGTCGGCGAAGGAGGCGCAGACACCGGGGAAGGCGAGGCGGTCTGCTCGTTCGTAGCCGCTCCTCCAGGACCGTTCTGCCCTCCATCTACCTGGCCAACGTCCAGTCTCTGCCCAACAAGATGGACGAGCTCCTGTGTCAGGTCCAGAGCCAGCGCGAGGCCCGGGACTGCGCTGTGTTCTGCCTTAGCGAGACGTGGCTCCACTCGAACGTCCCAGACTCTGC